ACACACATATATATATAACTATGTATATATATATATATTATATATATATATATATATATGTATAAAAATAATATATATACACATGTATATATATATATATATACTTTTACATATATATATGTATATATATATACATATACATATATACATACACACACTCGCGCATATATATATGTACAAATATATATACATAATTATATGTACGGTTATGATTGTGTATATATATATGCATACAAGTATGTATATTTCTGAATATGGATGCATTATAAATAGTATATGATGTATACATATAAATAGTATATACTTGAAGCAACAAATATAGAGGTACAGATTAGACACTAATCCCTAGAGTTTGAAAACAGTAGTGTTCCTGATCAATATTGATACGGCGTATTCACCACTACTGATAAAAGATTCAATAAATAGCAATTTTGCATGCTAGTCCTCTCGTGTACATTTAAAAAAACAAGGCGTCATCTAAACCAGCAGACTAAAAGATTTCAATCGACAGATCACTGACTGTCGAAAGCCTTTGTGTGTATACTTCCAACAGTATGCAGAAAAACAAGATATTGAATTCGTAAAAGATTAACTTTATTGACTTACTTTGCAATACCATTGCAGTCCTTTCCAATAGACAGATGTGACAAACAAGCGAAACTCCTCTGAGGTAGAGAACTCAAGAAGCATTATAAGTTGTCTTAACTTTAAATATTTGATCTTCGCTTAATTCATTTGTATACTGATTATTGCCGAGTGCGAGTCGACTACAGAATATGGTAAGATAAGCGATTAACGGATTGTCACACATTGCACACAAGGTATTAAATCGGCAGAGACAAAACATTAATCCTCAAATTATTTATTGCATATTCTACTTTCATCCTTAGCCTGTTGCCATTCTCATTCCTGTGCCTACAAAAGAAAAGAAAAGAAAAATGAACAAACCGCCAATGTGTAATAAAATAGAGGCATATATCGATATAATTGTATTCAACACCTATCACATTGTGGTATGGAAAACCGCAACATGTCAAACGGTCGAATTTACTCTATCTAGGATATATATCGTGGAAGTGCCTTGGTACGGACGAACGCGAGGAACTGCTGGAGCCTAGAAAATTATGACAGAATCGAACAACAGCCGTTCGATAAGACTTACCTAAATATATCATATCCAACGCCGATCAGTGAATAATTCCCTCTTTAGACTCGCACTGTTGACTTCAAGCGCACCTGGAATTATGGTATAGTAGAGTCAGTAAAAGTGAAACATATATTTACAATTAAAGATAACTATATTAACAACTGTTTCATGCCCATCATGCTCATTAAATCATTAGCTCGCAGTGGTTGTCCCGTAGAGAGTAAGAGTGTAATCCTCGGGCAACAGCTATTCTATTACAAAAGCGCATACAAAATATTCCAAAAGGATACAAAACATGAGACATGAGACCCCACTCACCTACTAGTAATTAGTGACGTTGTGATTCTTAGATGCTGGCTATATATATATAATTTGGCGTGAACTGTGGCCAGCCCGTATTGAATCACGTGGGGACGTCACTGTGGGAGTGAGGGTGTCCGTCATGTACGTATTTTGGATTTTCTAATTAATTGTCTACTATGTAAAGTCTGATTTCTGACTTCATTCCGTTTTGCGTTGCATCATACAAAAAATATTTATAAATACGTTTAGGGTTTTTTTTGGTGGGTATCATAATATTTGGGTTCTGAGAATCTGAGATGCATATTTTTACTGTTATGTACACTCATTGTACAGGTGATGATTTTTGGATTTTTTTTCCCACGCCTCCAATTATTAGAACATAAAAAACAATCTAAACTCTATATGTTTACGTTAAACGTATATTTAGTCTACTTTCAGCGTATGTATTTGGCAACAGCCTCCTAAAAAAAGTACAAGAATGGGGTTAAAAATATTGTCATCAAATATGTGTCATTGTCATTTTCATAAGTTTTTGACAGGTTGACACTTCGGCACATCTGATAGCCCAGGGGCCAGTGGCTTCAGTGAACGACGTAGTTCACACTAGAATAGAGCGAGAAGTCCTCTCTAGTGTGCCCGCTTTGAAGCTTGGAAGATGTTTAACGAAGCATACTACAACCACTCGCCTCGATTGCCTCGCGATATTCTTTCACCAATACAAGAGATTTTGAAGGCGTTCATTGCTGTAGGTACACCCTCATATGTGATTCCACTCTAATTCTACATCGAGAAAATACGAAACCATACAGCAGAAAGTAGAATTCTAATGCATGTTAGAAAACGTTTACCGCGCGAGTCTTCCTACTAGAGTATTAAAATAACAACACAGTCGTGACTGACAATTCTTTAAAAGTACCTTCATAACCAACGACTTGATCTTTTCACTGCCCAGAGAACAGATCAAGTTTTGCTAACGGACCTTGACAGCGCTAAGGCCACTTATGATAGCGAAAATCGAATAACATCCAAATGACTGTGTCGCAATCAGTCAGTGCACGTGCACAAGCAGTTCTGGACGGCAAGGCTAAACCCCCTGGAAGCTTAGGATTATTGGAATTATGGGCCAAAAAGTTAGCGGTGCTACAAAAAACTAGTCAAGGGTCTATCGTACAGTTCGATGAGACTCCATTTAAAATCGACCTTGCATCAGCCGTGCTATTGGTCTTTGCAGCAGACCACGGGGTGGTGTCAGGAAAACCCTTAGGTGAGAGTGTGAGTGCTTTCCCACAGTCAGTTTCCATCAGTATATTTGAAGCCTTAGGCCTGCGTGGAAATGCAGCCGGTGCTGTGCTGGCTCAAGCGAATGGGCTAGACGCGATGTACGTGGTGGACGTAGGCTTGAAACTTGATCATTCACAAAGCACACAGTGCAGTGACGCCGAAATGTCTGTGAAGGGAATGTCTGTTGTATGCCAACGGAGTGCACGTGTGTGTAACGGCACTCGCGACTTTGTTGTTGAACCGGCGATGACCTCGTCGGAACGTGAGAAGGCGATGCGTGTGGGGCGCAAGAGCGTGGCTCAAGCCGTGGAACGCTTTAATGCGAGGATCATCTGTTGCGGGGAAGTGGGGATTGGGAATACCACATCGTCCAGCGCAATTGTCGCTGCTATCACCAGGGCATTGCCTAGTGCAGTGTGTGGGAAGGGCACAGGGCTCGGTAGTGAAGGTGTGAAAAGGAAAGTGGCCACGGTAGAACGAAGTCTTGCTTTACACAACTTAGATGACGAAGAAACAACCATAGATGCGGCGTATGCTCACAAGGTTTTAGAATGTGTTGGAGGACTGGAGATTGCTGCGCTAGTAGGCACAATGCTAGAGTGCTATGATCGTAATGTTGGTATAATGGTGGATGGCTTGATCACGTGTGCAGCTGCCTTGGTGGCGTATACTATCCAGCCAGATATTATGAATTGCATGTTCTTCTCCCATACAAGTGACGAGGCTGGCGGTGTGGCTGCTATATTCACACACATGGGCGCAGAGAATATTCCATTAAATATGATTCTGCGCCTAGGTGAGGGCACTGGGGCTGTATGCGCTGTTCCGATTCTGAGGGCTGCGGTGGCAATGTTTAATGATATGGTTTCCCTGAATGACGCATTACAGCCAGTTAAGCCAGAGGAACAATTGTTACATGAAGTAGAAGTAGAAGTAGAATCAGAAGAGCAAATATCACAATCCATTGGAAATTCAGTCGAGTTAGAGCTAGAGGATCTATCGCAGACGATTGAAGATCCAACGCGTATAATCAGTAAGGATGAAGTTTCTGCTAGGGGCACAGGTGCCAAAGATGGGGAAGAGTTCACCCTCGGATTCTGGTCTGAGATCCGGGTGATGTTCACGGCACTCATGTTCCTGACGCGTCTACCTTGTCCAGCTTCCACCGATCACCATCCTGAATTCTTGTTAAGAAGCATGCCGTACTACCCGTTGGTGGGAGCCTTCGTTGGGTTCTTTGGTGCTAACATATACTTATTTATCAATCAGCTGTCGGGGTCTACGATCGTAGGGGCGGTGTTGGCCGTGACTGGTACGGTGTGGCTCACGGGCTGTTTCCATGAGGACGGCCTCGCTGATACACTAGATGGGTTTGGGGGTGGCTGGGGCAAAATTCAGATATTACGCATTATGCAAGATTCCCGGGTTGGCACGTACGGACTTGTGGGCACTAGCTTATGGCTCAGCGTGCGTCTAACACTGTACAGTAGCTTACCAAGCACTATCGACCTGTGGGCATCAATGATTGCCGCTCATTGTGTCGCTCGTTTGACGGCTCTGCCTATGGTGTACTTGTTCCCCTACCTAGTAGACTCGGGCGATCCAAAGGGAGCTCTATACAACCGCTTCGCCGAGGTTACGACACTCCTCACTCGCGAGAGAGTCGCGGTGGGCTATCTGATATCATTCTCGATCGTCTGTTTGCTTAAGGGTATGAGTGCAGCGATACAGTCCGTGCTGATAGTTACGATCTTGGGACTGTGTGCGGGCTATTACGGGGTTTCAGTTATCGGGGGCGTGATTGGTGACTTCCTCGGCGCGACTATCTGTATAGCTGAGACCGTGCTGTTAATGTGGTACGTGATACTTTCCCGCGGGCAAGACAATGGACTGTTCAAAATGGGTCTATGGGATGTAATGCCTATTGCAGGAACCATCGTTGGCCTGAGTGTATACATTAATGCTGTGAACACGGCTAACAAGAAGCTTTCATAGCTCCATAAACTTTTGGGGTTTGAAGCTGATTTAAGAGTATTCATACTCGCACTTCCTCCATGACGGAAGCCTTTTCTCGGTAAGTGCCAGATTCACACGGAAGTCAATCGACGACCACACCTCGATATATTGCGTTGATAGTATCGATGAAAGTTGAATTCTGAACGCACAACTGTGATGATCATAGATGTGGTCGTAAATTCTAGAGAGCTCTCGAATTGATAATTCGGCAGATTTCGAAGAGATGAATCAGAGTTTGAATTCTCCGATTGCTAAAAACATATTGCTTTTCATTGCTTTAATGCTCTCAGACCGAACGAGAGATGCGCGTGTGCAACACATATTGAATTGAGATGTGTTTTTTAACCCATGCGATCCATTTCTCAGACAGAATGCACCTGAGCATGTATGCTGCTCCGACATTTTTCTAGTATTTCGAATCATAAAACGAGAAACACTTTACCAAACTAAGTTTCTATATATGAATATTCAAATTTAGACATGTATGCCAGTTGCTCGTTTTATTCTTTTTTTTTTGGCTGCACGCTAGGAAAGTACGTAATATAGCCCACTTTCGAAATCCGAATAGAAAATATATCAGTATCTCTACTGATACCTGTAGGCTCATTAAGAGAATTTTGATACTCGGTAATAGTCCGTAATATATTCATTGAACCCGCATACCGTGTTGTTCGAGTCATGAGCGCCAACAACGATGACTAGCAACCGTAATGGCAACCGAGAAGCCCGCCGTCGTTCTCAACCACTTGATAGCTGGTAAATGATACTAAAGAGGGGATTACTCCAAACATCAACTAGGTACGGAAAAAAATCAATATATATATACATATAAAGATACATGAAATATATATATATATATATACCATACATACACACATACCTACATCATACATACATACATACACACATACATACATACATACATCCATCCATACATACATACATACATACGTCCATACACATACATACATACACACATGCATATATACATAAAAGATGCTTACATAAATACATGCATAAAAACAAACAGATATACGTATATATGTACGTATTTACATACATATATACATACCGACATGCATACAAACATACATCCATAGATACATATATCAGTACATACATTCAAACATACATACACACATACAT